TATACGTTCGTTCCTACTACTAACTTACTACTAATTTACTTACTATATATATATATATATATAGCCGTATCTTCAGTTCTCCCATCATACTAAATAGCCCCTCTACATGTACAAGGAAGCCGGTTTCAGTGGGATGTTATATATGAAGGTCAGTCCCACGAAGGAAATTTTTACAACTCAGTCACGACTTACAGGCTGATTTCTCAAAGCGGTGACATAAAAAGCAGGCCATGCAAGTAAGTCATCTGAAGTAGAGGTTAACAGAATGTGACTTACGTAAAACAAGATAGCCAGAAGTTTGATATATTTTTCTTTTATTCTCTATGCAAGTTTCATTAGTAAACGAGAGCTTTTCATCTAGAGATTTTGTAGTGAAAGTTAGTGAAGCATTTATCAAACGAATGTGTCGTAAAATACAACTTCCCAATGCTTCCCTGGCTGAAAAGTAATGCAAAAATGGTTTATGAACATTTAGTTGGAACAGTATCCGTACACGTATATATAAATATATCAGTATTTTATCGACGTGAATGTACTAATAGAATTTGGCATGTTAATATCTAGTTGTTGCACCCATAAAATTTCATATTTTGATGAAGAATAATCAAAAGTGGTTATCAAACAATTACTTTGAAATTTTCTGCTTTTGATCTAATAAATAAATGTTATATATATATAATTAAGATGTTCAGTAAAAAGTGATACAATTCATAAAGTTCGTTAATTAGTGAAAATTCTGAATTACAAGCAATGTTCATATAAAGATGACACACACCTATTGTAAACATCTTAATCTACATGTACCCTTCCTCCATCAGATTAGCTTTAGTCAGCAGTTTATTACCAATCATGACCTACAAATTCAGAGACCTATGCATGAATCCTTTTTATTCTAACAAATTCTATACTCTTAATACACCAATTCCCGACTACCCCCCCCCCCCCCAAATCACCTCTTGGATCTTTGGAATAGTAAACATTAAAATTGAGAATTACTATATGTAACAACTATAGAATTAAACTAAAATGTTACAATGTTAAAATATAATGCACAATAAAACCTTAATAAACAGGAATACTTCAAGCTCTGTTGGATATTATGCACGTTTCAATAGTGAAGCACACTGCCATCATCAGGAGAAGCAAGGAATAAAAATAAAATATATATATATATATATATATAAATAATTAGTCAATCTGTTACACCCCTCTACATTTACAAAATACATTTCCAAAAATTAATTTTTATACTACTCAGACCAAAATCTTTAAAATA